CATACTCTACCTCCCCGCTAGGTATGAGTTGGCCAATGTACTCACACACATCCTCCCCCGCCCTGTAATTACGTGAAGCATAAAACCCCTTTCCCAATTTTGGTACTGACAGGTGCAATAAACGGGCCGGAATCTGTAAGCCTCCTCCTTTCCCTCTCCTGCACTGACTGGGGGCAGCATACCCCCTTAACGAATAACCCAAAAGTTCTGCCAAAATATCCCAGTCCCTTCCCCCCAAATTTCGACCGAACCTAACCTGTGAGATACGATAGCCACGGTGTGGAGTGTCCATGGAGGCGAAGCCCGTATTGATGGCGACCACCTTGAACTGACAAGTGAAGGCTTGTAACCTGGCGGCGATCTTCAGTAGGTTCTTGTCAGTTGTCCATGCGTTCACCCTGGCTTTGTATTCTTCGAAGAGGTCACGCGACGTGGTGAGGCCGTCTTCGTTGGAGGCGTATAGGTGTACAAATCTGGACAAGAAGGGACAGAGGCAGGCGCTTTTCCTTGGCTGGACCGACAGACCCTCGACGAAATTTCCCTGCTCGTGGCATTGTTGCTGTTCTCTGATCGAAGTGAACCAGCGGATTGAAACACAGCCGCATTCTCAATCTTATATAGTCGCGCCAAAACTGGAATGACTGTGCCAGTGCGCATGTCTAGGTGTCTTCTGATTGGTTGATACAGTGATGACAACCTTCACAGAATCAAGTTTCAGCGCTTGTTCGTATTTCCAGAAACAGTGTTTCACCCCCGCCCACATTCATCAGTGTTTATCTGTCCCACTGATACACACCGGGTGTCTTCATAAGGAGGTTTCAGACACCCTCACCAACACCCTTCCCCATGATGTTGAGTTGTGAGCTGTCTTTGACAGTTCAGTGGGACATTGTTACTATTTCCATTCATATGTAATCATATATTCTTCACGCTATAGGACCGTTCATAATATATGGCTAGGGGGGTTGGGGCGGGTAATGATGGTGGTGATTTTAAGGGGGCGTCACCCATTTAGTTTTGGGTAATTTGTTGAAAGGGACTCATGAATTTTGTACATAGCAATATATAAAATTTATGCTAAGAAATTATAGTGGGGTGTCATTGATTTTGTACATGGCATGCAAGGTGTGTCATTAACATAAATTTTAGGGGTAATTCACATTGCAGATACTTCTACATATAACTCATCATCAACCCCTAGCAATAAGTTATAGACGATCCCCAAGCATGGCACATTAAAACACAGAAATACTCCTGTGTATGATAACAGACCACAATCTTGGCCTCGTAATAACTATGTTATTGTCATTTTTCAATATTCAAGCTCTATGACGGCGCCCGGTAAATAACCGAGTCGGTACTTTCGCCTCTTATAACAATGTGAGATTGCTGGGTACCTATGTTCGTCCTGTAAGCCCTAAGGATGTGTCTCACCAGAGATCTGGGACCAGCACACCTAGTGTACCTATAATCTAATTTATCATCCAAAACTGTGTTCCACAGGAGATATCGCTTGTGTGAGATCAAACGATATCTCCTAGGAGATATCGTTTTGACAGTAGATTTTATACAATGCCCTGACAATGCTATGACATCATGTAATTTGATGACGTCACAATGCTATGACATCGCTGCACTGCAAGTCTCTTGGCAGTACCATGTTCAGAGATGTACATTTTTCATTGAAAATTTAAAGAAGAGTGATTTTGATGATAATAGAATCTCACCCAAGTGTCTTCTGATATCAATATATCAACATTCTCGTTGATAGAAAATGAAAAATATCCTCGGCAAGCCTCGGATATTTGTAACTTTATGAACTCGTGTTGATATAATTGATATCAGAAGACACTTGGGTGAGATTCTCTATATACAATACAGCCCATGCAAGTCTAGAATATATGTCAAGTTCAGAATACCATAGTTTCAGAAAAATGTAGACAGCCCCTGGCTCATTTTTGTTATATACCTGAGTCAAAAAGAAACTTCACAAAATGTAATTTGAAAATAATTAATAATTTTTTTCTGATGATACATCTATTTATCATCCAAAACTGTGTTCCACAGGCGATATCGCTTGTGTGAGATCAAACGATATCTCCTAGGAGATATCGTTTTGACAGTAGATTTTGCAAATATATCAACACTCGTTGATAGTTAGAAATATCCTCGGCAAGCCTCGGATATTTGTAACTTTATCAACTCGTGATGATATAATTGATATCAGAAGACACTTGGGTGAAATTCTCTATGTATCCGAAATGGGATCCCTATCTTTCGACTCTAGAAAAACGTTAGCAAAACCCTCTCAAACCCATCCATTTGTCGTGCAAATGATGTTAGTGCCAAATAAGGTTTTGCACGTGTAGTCGATCACGTGATCTTCGCATCGAAGTTTTCTTCATATGCACGTGTTTGCATTGGCCTCAAGAATTGAAAACACTTTTAATCCACAATTCTAACGGTACTTTGAAATGCCACGATTGTCAAATGTGCAACGTGAACGTGCCGTTGGCATGTTGCAAGCGGGAAGATCAGTTACTGACGTCGCAAGAGCAATGGGATGCAGCCGTCGTAGTATCTATGACTTGCGAGGTCGTCTACAAAAAACTGGCACCACTTCTGATCGCCCAAGGTCGGGTCGTCCACGTGTGACGTCACGAGCAGAAGACCGTCAAATCGTCCTACGTCACCTACAGCTACACGAACCAGGGCTGAGATGTTTAGAGGTCGACTGTCCTCACAGACCATTTGAAATCGGTTGCGGGCTGCCAATCTCCATTCTCGACGTCCATATTGTGGGCCAATATTGACGCCGTTTCATCAACGTCAACGTCTGCTGTGGGCCCAACGTCACCTCCGATGGACGCAGAGAGATTGAATCGAGTCGTCTTTAGCGATGAATCCAGGTTTACCCTCATATTCGCGGACGGCAGGCATAGAGTCTGGAGACGACGTCGTGAACGTCATCTATATTACTGATATTAACAGTGTTACCGCCACACATAAATGGCTCAGTTTGAGGCTTGACGGAGTTAAACCCCTTTCTGTCATGTTATTTACCTCTCTGTCTGTTTTGTTTTGGGAACATTAAAAACTCGGTTTTCTGTTATTTTTGAAATTTTAAACCTTGAACAACAAATCCTTTTGATATATGATCAGTATCTTTAGAATTTAGGCAATATCTAACAGTTTATATTAAGATTCCAAATAAACCTTTAGATGTTCACCTTCCATAAATTACCAAAACATACAAAAGTGACTTTGAACTCTTGGACTACTGTACAAAATGTGGTGTACACAGTCAATATAGCCTATCAACGCCAGAGAACAACCAGTCTCCACTATCCGTCCTTAGCCTTGATCCAAGGCTCTATAGTGCATGTAATTCTACCTTTATAATATGCAAATATAGATAAGCGTTCACTACATCTAAGGATTCCAGTCTTTAATAGTTACAGCATGTTCTGATTATTAATATTATTCTTCAAGACTATTACAATGCGAAAGCTAATTACCATTGTACAAGAGACTTGTGCAAGTGTAATCTCTCGTATAAGGCGAAAGAAAGACAAGGTGATATAAGTCGCCCGGGTATAAAATCAACGCACTACGACGAAGACCACAACAAGCATAAGAAGCAGCACTGCGGTGTATGATCATTATGATAAACAAAGAGTAAAACAAGTCGTGTTCCATGAGAGCCCTAGCTGTTAAGAATGTAGATGTTGAGTCTGAGGACCATCAACACCCGCCTGTATCTCACTGTACGTTGTTCATGTGCAAAAACTGAAGCTGAAGCCGTACAACAAACCACAGAGACGTACTACAGTACTTGATGGCCTTTTGAGTCACCAGTGGAATACATAGTGCAGCCAAACATTCGTCTAACTCTGCCTAGTAACAAGACGTAATAACTTCACGTCTAATCCAAGCTAAAACAAAGGATGCAATCAAACTGACTCACAGTCAATATGCATGGTATGAAGACAAAACATGAACATATTAACAACAGAAACATTAGGCAGTCATTCGTTGTACATTGTTATTTATGTCACAGCTCTACTCAGTTGTAAAAAGTTTGATTTGTATGGCAGCGACCATGTTCTTTTTGAAAAGCTCATAGTCAACTAACATAGGGAGCGACAAACTGTTTGCACATGTGTTTGCAAAAGGGAAATTCTTCTTGTCTTCAGGTGATTCAATTTCTGCCGACTGAAACAGCAGGGGTGGAGAGGGGTCGAATCCCAGAGGCAGGATTCCGTCAGCCCCGGTCACAAAACACCAAGAGGTCTTTGAGTGTGGGGACTTCCGTACCTTCTGAAATGGACATACAGTGTACTACGCTTGTTACTAACACGGCGTATAAACCAACATACGTTATATTATAGTCGAAATGTATATAACAAACTACGGGTATGACGAACTAAATGTACTTGACGTTTGCATTCGTTCTAACCGTAGTTTACCGTATACTCAGGAATACATTGGTTATATATTAATTTTTTAACACCCTATTAAAACCGTTATTGAAACGTTTGCAATATTCCGTATGCTTGAAGTATTTAAGAATAGAAAGGAAACGAAATGATTGATCCTGATGAGATATATTAAATACATTATGCATTAAATACATGAAAGGATTGATCCTGATGAGATATATTAAATACATTATGCATTAAATACATGCAATAGAGTATCCTTATCAGTTGTGGGGTCCCTTTGCATTGAGTCTGTGATTTACTGAGAAATAATCGCTGATTTAAACTATGATATCAGTTATCCAAAGCTATATGATCTTACCTTCGTAACAAATACTATAAATGCACGGTGTATTCATTTATAAAACCAATTATCACATTGATTGTACCTTCCAAATCAAGAAAATCTCTCTCCAGTTTGAGAGAACAATCTCTTCTGTGCGGCGTCGGTTAGAGCTGGCGTCTGCTAAATCCGGTTCGAACAATAGTTCTATTGTTGTTGAATCCAGAAGCCTTTCTTCATAAACAAAAACTTCTTTCATGCGTCTTCCATGATTTTAGCACTCCTAATACGCCAAGCGTTTCAAGTCCTCTGCAGAATCTAAGATACACAGAATTGAATGTTCAGTATCTTATCAAGGTGTTCATCTGTACTACAGTGCAATGTCACTATTTCATTGTCTTACATTTGGTACGAGATACAAAATGTGTTAAGTGAATGCACTGTTGACTTTAGTAATAAGGCATTTAACGCCGCGTCAAACAATATTCAGTCACTGTCCTTTTGTTTAAGGTATGTCCATGGATAGCTACAGTGTGTGCTGTCTATTCTGCACAAGTGTATGTAGTCGATGTTCGTGAGCGTTTACATAAGAAATAAACAGAAAACATTGTAAATCTCGAATAAATACGCACTTGATGTTTACACTTACTGGTCAAAACCTTGATGTGCACGTCCGAACACAATGAATTGTGTTATGGCCTTGCACATTTCTTGTCGCCTGCTCAGCGTATGGACCATGGATATACTGCCTGCCATCTGAATCAGGTCTTCAAAGGCCGTGTAATCCTCGGCCTGAGATAACTGATAATAGATGAAATAGATAACTTGGGTTGTCATTCCAGTGTAATATATAGCGGATATTTGCATATGTGCAAACGAACGAGTCTTCTTAAACAGCGTCCTCGAAAGACATGAATCCATGGCTCACTCTCTTGTGAAGCTATTCATTATGAGTTCATGCAATTCATTATTATCAATATTTACTTTCACAAAAGTTACAGGTTTGTGTCCAATCGCACACGTAGTTGTTAACTTTACATACAGCATACAGATTTCACTACACGATAATGCTTTATATCAAATACTGATCATTTCAATCAACGTAACTAAATTCCATTGTTAAACTAATAATGAAATTAATGAATCTTGAAATGTACACTTTACAATATTCTTGGAATGTTTTGGAATAGCGCTTAGTTCATTGAGCATATTTTTAACGAGATAACAGACAGCAGATTATTAATGTACTTGTATTCCCGTGTACACAAGACGAAATAAACTAACTGAACTAATAGTAAAACACGTGTGATTAGCTTTTAGTTAGGTTGTCTATTCACTGATCGGTTGTGCACTTTTACCTTCACCACTTGATCCTTGTAGTCGTGGTCCTGATGTGGCCTGTTGCTGGCTGAACGCTGTCTATGCCATGGACCATGGCATCATACAGAAGTGGATGGAGGAAATTGGGTAGTGGTCCACCGTGCACAATAGAGTATGCAATCATCTGTCCAACAAGTTCGTATGTCCGATCTTGCAAAGCTGAAAGTGTATTCGGCAACACAAATGAAGTTACAGAACAGTACTTGTTATCAGTAATATGTTTGGCAAAATTGAAAAATTAACTGGTTCACGAGATGTTGAAGAAATCACACATTTTTCCCAATTACAAGTGGAAGAATATAATCGATTAATCATGCATGCAGTCAATGAGAAATCTCCTGAAACATGCACGGGTGTCCTGGTGCACCTCTTGTACTATCATACACTTGGACTTATGAAAGGCACGCATACATTCTTGACACCCAAGCACCACAGTAATCCATTACTAAAACAAAACATTTACTGATATAATGTGGATGGAGCCAGAATGAAGCAGCCCGCAGTTCCCATCGTGTTCTTATGAGATACGAAATGAGAGATTGTGTGTTTCCGTACATTCTGTTTCGCAGTGTTCAACATCTAGAAAGTGTCAGTGGTTGTCATATGATCGGCAATGTTTAGTGTACATATTTATGGTCAGCCTGTGAAAATATCAAAACATGTCTTCGAAGTTCCAGATGGAGAACCTTAGTAGATTTTGACATATGGACGTTTTGTATTGATGGTATGTCTGGATATGAGTTGAGTTGAGTTGAGGTGAGGTGAGTTGAGGTGAGTTGAGGTGAGGTGAGGTGAGGTTTAACGTCGCACTTAAGAATATTTCGCTCATATGACAAAGTGCATGCGTGTGTATGTGTATGTGTGGCTGCATGTACTAGCCCAGACTTAAGCTGGTTTTATAGTGCTAGCCCACTGAGATACCATGCCGCAGTGAGCATGAATACCCCCACCAGGCACATTATACTGACTCCGAGCAGACCATCCCTTGTTGTACCCAATAATGCCCAGGGCCAACAAGATACCATTTTTAAACGTGTTTTGGTGAGGTGAGGTGAAATTGGGTTTAACGTCGTGCTTGAGAATATTTTGCTCATATGACCACGTGCATGCGTGTGTATGTGTATGTGCGGCTGCTTGTACTATCCCATACTTAAGTTGGTTTTATAGTGCTAGCCCACTGAGATACCATGCCGCAGTGAAGCATGAATACTGACTGACTGACTGGGTTTAGTTTTACGCCGCTTTTAGCAATATTCCAGCAACATCATGGCGGGGGACACCAGAAATGGGCTTCACACATTGTACCCATGTGGGGATTCGAACCCGGGTCTTCGGCATGACGAGCCAACGCTTTAACCACTAGGCTAAACCATGAATACCCCACTCAGACACATTATACTGACTCCGAGCCGACTAGTCCTTGTTGTACCCATTAATGCCGAGCGCCAGGCAGGGACCAATAAGTACCATATTTTAACGTCTTTTGGTGTGACGCGGTCGGGGATCGAACCCGCCACCTTCTCTCATTTCTCTGCCATCATAATGCTTATGTGTGACTAAAATACTGACTAACAATTCTAACAAACAAGACTAAGAAATTCGATTAACATACAAAAACAAATCATTTCCTGACGCCAAGTGTAATGTACTTAAAATACAGAACAAAGTGTGTTCATAACCATGTACACTATATTCTGTCCAAATACAAACACACTGCGTTCATAATAAATTGGCAAAAGGTTAACCTGCCCACATAGCAATTGATCAGGTAGGTAGCAATGGATTAATTCAGGATTAATTAACCCACTTCCATTTTACACAGACCAATTAGTGATGGTAGTTGTACCAATTCGGTCAGTGCAATTTCCGTATGTCCCATTTCTGGCAGTGAATTATAACACCTCCTAATTACGTCATCTGGACACTGGCAGTTTTGGATAAATTGCAATATCAAGACTGACTGACTGACTGACTGAGTTGAGTTTTACGCCGCTTTTAGCAATATTCCAGCAATATCACGGCGGGGACACCAGAAATGGGCTCAACACATTGTGCCCATGTGGGGAATCAAACCTGGTCTTCGGCGTGACGAGCCAACGCTTTAACCACTAGGCTACCCCACCGCCCCGCAATATCAAGAACATATACTGACATATACATGTTAAAAACCCAATGTTTTGTACATATTAACATATTGCAATGGTATGCTCTACAAAACATGTAATCGAAGGTTGGTGATGCTACCCTTACCTTTGTGCGTGTATGCAATCATTTATGTGTGTTTGTGTGTGTATCTATCTATCTATATATATATCACTAAAACATGTATAGAGACGAAAATTTTAAGTTTGTCTTTGATTTATTACAACACTTGGAAAGTCATTGAAAGTTATCCATAAATTACCATGGAAATGGTCCCTTCCCTCCCCAACCCCTTCAAGTAGTACAATACAACATTTTTCATATTTGCATATCTTTGCAACATCGGAATCTGGTATCTGAATTGATAATGTGTGTCTAATATTTCTGTTTGCAAACCAAAATAAGTATGTAAATATGCAACTTATGTTTAAATTTACTGCAAAATTGATGAATTTGGTGTGATTTTGAAAATATCAAACATGTTCATCTGACCTTGAAATTAACCTTGACCGTTAAACAATTTTCATTGACCTGTTTGTAAACAGTTTAGTTGTATGTTACACAAGCAATCACTGAAACACATGCATAAAGCAAAATGTTACTGTTATCTTTGTTGTATTCAAATATAGAATATTTACAGTGACATTTGCCACGGTGGCGCCCCCTAAACTTAATATTCCGTGACACTGTTTATATTGGCAACATTTAATTTCATATACAGTGACTCTGAGCTCAGAATGTAGTTGGTGTTATTTGTGTTGACATACCAACAATATATGAGGAAACTTTGAATTTTAGCCCACATTTGCTACACAATTGATGAATGTGACCTTGGCCTTTGACCTTGAAGGTGTTAATGCACTTGTATTTATGCACTTGTATTCCCAGGGAAACATTCTTGAAACAATATCATTCTTATAATTTAGTTACATAAAGGCATGATTGTCTCAGTTCACTCTGCTGTAAAATGCGTACCCGTCAGGGTGTGCTGCCAGTGTGAGTGTGTAGTTCATTGCGCCTAACAGGCAGCATGGCTGTGTGAAGCCCAGGGAGTATCGGAAAGTACGATAGTGTCCTATGACCGGGGATAGTAATGTACGTATCGCCGTGAGCAGGCAATGTGCCTGGAAATGAGAGCCATATAAGCGGACTATTACTATTACTATGATGCATTCTTTGATATAATTAAACATGCTTGTTAACCATGGAAACTTCCTCAATCCCACCTGTCCTAACAATTGCTGGTCTGAAATATATTTTGTCAGAAAGCTGAGTGTGTGAGGTGTCTTGACACGAAACACATGGTGCTGTACTTTTACAATACTCAGCAGTTCATAAAGATGCGAGGTAAAACTTCGAATGGGTTCGGTGGAGCAGTGCTTGGATCAGCACATGCATTCTCAAAAATTATATAATCACTATTCATAGTGAAGATATATTCCTGTATATATAGCAGTCATGTTCTCTGAAAAATAACATGGTTACCGTGGAAACACCTCAAAATGACATGTTGTCTGACACTTTCAAGTCTGGCAACATTGGTTTTGGAAAACTAGAGATTCCAAGCTTTCAACCGGTACCAAAATAATCTTGCTATAACTCCGGTATACGTCTTTACGTGTTTAAATTTTTGACAACAAAAGCCACTGCTCCATGAGTAGTTATACCAACTATGACATTCTTATCACATAATTCCTTTAAAGTTCAAGAATTAACATTTCAGCATCTTGAATTTAAGCAGTGTGAATGTGCACATTGTCATACAAAATACCTGTTTATGTATTAGTAAGTATTAGTTTGGACTCTATTATGTGTGAGAGAATGTTAGGAAGTGAGGAGAGATTATTATACATGTTTAAAAGGAATTCGACTGTTAAAGGTACCTGAATGTGCGTGTCTACAGCATGCAACCCAAGAAAGCAAGAAAACACGACACACACACACGATGCTCAAACAGATGATATTTTAAGCATTATCCCTTCACCATGGGTTTAGCAAATTATACCTCACGTACCGAATCTACGCAGGGGTCAAAGCTGATTACTGAAATATAACGTTGTATAAAATAACATTTATAATCATCTTTTAGCTCATTTTGTTTCCTAGCAGTATTTCAGTACATTCAGATTATGAAGAAACATTTGAAACGTGTATTTACCAAGAATGGCCAACTGAAGGCGTGATTTACAGGCTCTCTTGGAAGAGAACTGCACCACACTAGTAATGTACATATGCTTATCATAGCAGAGGCACATGCGGTTAAGATAGTAATGTACATATGCTTATCATAGCAGAGGCACAGGCGGTTAAGATAGTAATGTACATACGCTTATCATAGCAGAGGCACATGCGGTTAAGATAGTAATGTACATATGCTTATCATAGCAGAGGCACATGCGGTTAAGATAGTAATGTACATATGTTTATCATAGCAGAGGCACATGCGGTTAAGATAGTAATGTACATATGCTTATCATAGCAGAGGCACATGCGGTTAAGATAGTAATGTACATATGTTTATCATAGCAGAGGCACATGCGGTTAAGATAGTAATGTACATATGCTTATCATAGCAGAGGCACAGGCGGTTAAGATAGTAATGTACATATGTTTATCATAGCAGAGGCACATGCGGTTAAGATTAAATTACACATTAACATTTCCTTTCTTCCTTCCGACAAAATACGGTTATCTTCTGTGACGTCGTCTGTGAAGTCTTTTCAAAAGACTTACAAAACATAGGGGATAGAGTAAATCCAGCTAGGGTCCATGCAGGTAGCAAAGGCACTGTAAGTGCCCATGGTCCCTAGTATGGTGATATACCTTCGGTCGTTGGCGATCTATAGCCCATTTTTACGTTGTATTGTACAAAAATAATTTTGTACTTTGAAAGATATATGCTTGCTAGTTTTAACTCAATCTGTGATAATCTAGTGGTTTTACTGTCCTTCGTTGACAGGGTTTTATATATTATATGTATGTATTATGAATTTTGAACTAGTTTTAGTCACGATATGGTTGAAATATTGCCGATGGGACTTTAAATCTTCACTCACTCACTCACTTACAAAACATAGACGTAGGTGTTATAGTTGGACCCATTGCATGTGATTGCTCTAAATATAAACGAAGAAGAAGAACTGATGGTGATCAAATGCATCTGCATTTACCTGGGTAGTTAAGGTCGAGCATTTTGAATTCTCCGGTCCGCAAAAATCGGTAGGTTAGCTATGTCTATCATAAGCAGCCGGAGGAATTCCCTCGATGGCCCTCCCTCATCGATACCACACTCGTCCACAAACTTGACTGACAGACGGTGTCTCGGATCAAATGAGTGTCGTCTAAACGCCCTTGTGTCTCCCTGCAGCACAGCATACCGAGACACATTCACTATGTTTGATCTTCCTTCTTTAGTTTGGGCTGCCAGTCTTCAAGGATGTTTGTCAAACTTATGTCTGCAACACTAAAAGAACACATTTATTGTTAAGTATATGTGATCCATTCATGTATAGACGCACTCGTTGGCAGCATGGTGTACATATGCTGTTTAACCTTTAGAAAGAGGTATAAAGCTGACTGTTCTTATTGAACGATTTCTTGAAACTATACACATTGCAAAAATGGTAGCATTTTCATTTAAATTATCTATTTTAGATAAATCGGCTGCGTATTTTCTAATCAGATACCATATACTATTTGCAAGTTCTTAGAGACATTTACGAGATAAGCTATACTTATAGCTAATGATAAAGAATCATTCACCGTTTATGAAACCTATCTACAGTCTATTTCAGCATTACAGGAAAAGGACATACGTATTCAGCAATACTCGATGAAATAAATAAATAATTAATTTCAGTCCCTGTTAGTGATCATAGACTGTATAAATGGGGTTTGAGTATATGTACAGGAAGGACATACATTGTGTCTGACTGCAGGTGGTCTACTCCTGTGTCTTCATGAGTGATGTTCACCACAATCGCACTACTGTGCTGTTGATGTTCTGTTAGATCATCGAGTTCCTCCTCAAATAGAAATAGACAGAGAAGTCATTCTCAGAAATCAAAGAATGTTTAGAACATTTTGTAAACGTAATTATTCATTCAGCAACATATATCTTGGATAATATGATTGTTTAGTGAGTAGTTATTATGTCGCTTTACTACATTGATTGTGTGATTACTCTAAATACCTACTTGACAACTGTGCAAGAACCTGCATAGAAACAGCGCACTCACGAAATAATATAAGTTGCTATCCATAAGGTTTGTAAGTATTGTAACAAACAGGGAAGAGTAATGACACAATCAAAGAATGACACAAAGGTATTTGTAACGTGATTTTCATTTTCAGTTTTCTGTTGAACGGGCATGGACTGATTGTGTATTATTTGATCACGTCTATTATTGAAAACATTTTGTAAACTGACATGAGCCTCACTGGTGAGTATTTCCCGAATTACATTAATCAAAGATGATATGTGTACTTGTTATAGAAGGGGCTGGAGTACACATTTGACACCTGCAAGTGACGGTGTGTATTGAAGACAATGGTTGGCGTCCCACAGTATATTTCGGGCAGCTCCTCATCGTCGTCGTCGTTGTCCATGACTTGTGAACCCTAACAGGAAATGAAAAAGCCAACGGTTGAAAAGATTACAACTAATAACATTTTTAATCACCAGTATGTGTATGTATATAAAACGTTAATGGTGGAGTGAAATTACTGTGCTCATTTCACGGATAACTATCATCGGGGCCTAGAACTTTGAAGCCGTCATAACGTTACAACACATAAAATACACCTGACTTTACACTGTGGTGGCGCTGAAAGAACTACATTTATATAGGCCAAGACTAATTCACTATACCTGTTCATCAGAACAATGTTGATGAATGTTGGTCATCTGATGTTGGTCATCTGAGGTGGGTCCGTTGACATCCTGTGTAAACATACAGCCTGTACATAACTGCCACACTTTCAATGCAAATTACACCAAAGATGGAGTACTGTTATTTGTCAGGACAATTACCATTCTCATCATCATCTATTTACTACATCATCAGTAACTGTTGTCTGTTACATACTGTCGTAACTGGCGTTTGGGTGTTAGTAAACCCTACCCCAGTTACCTATTGATTATGGTCGTTCCCCATTGTTCGGGGAGATGGTAGCTCTGGTGCTCAACTCGCTTGGTCCGTTGCAGAATGCTAAGTCAGGGAGTGAGGGGTCGGACAACCGTGACTCCCAACAAGCCACATAACATTCCTGTACTGGCACACATACATTCATAGATAAACGCAAAACCAAGTTTATACTCACATAGTAGTTTTACTCTGTCTCAGTCCATCTCTAACTACAACTTCATCAACAGACAGGATAGGCTCGTACCACAAAGGCAACTGAGTGACGTGGACTGGCTTCAGGTCACTTAAAAGCGCACTACTCGCTCAGTGCCAAACCTATCTTTTATATGGTTCGAGACTGGCCTGATCCTGATCACCTGTTTCCAACCCATCGTTTTGATTCGTTAATCCTATATCTGTCCCAGCAATCATGAATATTATGATTGGAAAATTATCGGTAAATACAGTTCGGTAACTCCCCAATATTCATTGATTTATTAATGGGTTCTGTCTCAAGCGACGTATACATTTCTAACTGACGACTTAACGCCATTCACTTTAGACTTTGTCTCCTCCCAGCGTTTGTGGCGTTATCCATCATGAGCCAAACTGTAACTCTATATACCGAGTCTGATGTAATTCTCCCACTGATTTAGGGATGCATTTTTACCTTATAACAATACCAAATACCTGTACTTCATGCCATATGTTAACATGTATGTGTTAACATGGAAAGTAAACAACTTAAAAATAGCACCACACTCAGATACTCCTAAAATAGATGCAATAATGATTCTTTCTCACATTTACAAACTTTTTATCATTGTCACACAATTACGTAATTACAATTTGCTCTAGGATCAACCTATGAAACAATGGATACCAAACCCCCTTTGCTTCCATCAGAACAATTATCAGGACAACTGAATATATACCTCTTGCTCATCAGCATTAGGGTCATTAAGTGTCACAGGGATGTGATCAGTAGCAGCTTCGTCGACAGTCTGTTGAAAGAAGGAAATACACATTACGCATACATAGAGGAAACAGGCACAACACTAAACAGTTGACTTATGACATTTATGACAGTTTTTCAGAACCATCAAACAAGTGATGAACACACATGACTCCATGGAACAAACGGGTATATAAATCAGAACTAGTGAAGGAAGTGCCCTACTGAATGGTAATATTTTCTCATTTCCCTGTCAATACTATAGATACCTTTTCACTTTTGTCGTATGTGTGAAGATACACCCTAATTGGGTGAGATTTCCTACTTTTGTAGAATAAATCTACAGTGAAGGGTTCTCCATTTATGGTGTCCTGCAGTTTTGAGCCACTGAAATTAGCCAGAGAGACATTGAGATTTGACAGGAGCAAGTCCTGAACTGTATTCTGTCCCTCTGGAAAATACAGCTCGCAAATTTTGTTTTCCAGCTCAACCAGTGAGAGGTGCTTCTCGGCATCAATGTCATGGGCACCCCCTCCCTTACTTGCAGGTATCAGTTTGAACGAGCCAGTGATTTGGTGTTTCCATCCTAATTTGATGTTCCTTGTTGCTGATTTCGAACCTCTGAAGGCTCCGTTGTCAGCCCCCCATGATGCCTACAAACAAGCAGTGAACTTTACATATATGTAAACAAAACTCGATAATAAATTATCAACTTGAAAGTGTCAGTTTTGGGGTATTATGTAATACTTATTTATGATATTGAATCATACATGGTCAGACATAACTGAAAACAAATAACAACAATGCAAAATAGCAAATACAAATTGATTGATAGATAAAATTTTAAAACATTACAAGTGCATCGTTCGTTCATGCCTTGGCGTCAACATAGACACTTATGTCGTTATCAAAGTTTCAAAATAACGTACGAATAACCGAAGAACCAATACTCCAGAAATTCAGAATATGAATATGAATAGTTATCAGTTAAAAATGAAAAATTGTTACTCGAGTGGTAAAAACATTCCTTACACAGAGTGCATATCATTTACCCCACAACTGGGAACATACTAGGATATACTAGGAATACCTTCGTCGCCTCTTTGACTGAAACATTTTCACTCGTTGGACAATTGGTGATTCTGGTATAGATTCTGCAGATGAAATAACACAAAGTTACTTCAAACACTTTGAATATGAATGTAAAATTCACTTGCAACATATACGAAGCTACCTATTTAACTATACCATAGTATGTATAACAGTTGCTGTGATATGTTGTGCATATTGTTTACATGTGTACACTTTGAATTCAATTATTTTCGTAAATCGACGTATTTTGAGAAGACATAACGTTAATGCCGTACATTTTAAATTTTAGCCATTTTAAAAGGAGGATTTTACCACAGATGAAATCTTTGCAGCGTTGTCTGAGTTTAGCTCTTTCGCCAATGGTTCCGATCCCAAGTGTTTTGAACTCCTCATCCGTCAAGGAAAGAACTTCTGAAGGACCAACCTTGCGTGAAAAAGTATTGAACAAAAATATAATTTAAATATATCATCTGAAGCTTTTGATGATGAGTGCGGGTGCAAGCTACATGCAGTTAACTACTTTTGTAATAACTAAAAGGAAAAGCTAAGTTTAGTTTCAAATATTTGAAGGGCATTTAGAAGTGGAATGCACAAGAAAACTACATCAGTAGGTGAATGGTAGGGAGTATGAGGGGGATATATACATCTTTGTAGTGCCTCATATATATAGACCCCCCTCATACTCCTTACCATTCACCTACTGATGTAGTAAGCATACACTTCGAAACGTCGTGTTATTCACATTAAAGAAGTTGATATCCATAAATCTTGCTTTTCTTAAGTTTCGTTTGTTATGACAGAAGTTGGTTAAACGCATTTGACTATACGACATCTTGGATAAAGTGACGTGACCACGTCATATCACTACGTTAGTAACAACAGTTTGATATGTATCATACCTAACATGATTAAAAATACATGCTACAAGACAGATTCATAGTCAGACATACAGTGTGAAGCTTTCCGTTTGAGAATTGTGACTGCAACAGTACTTTATAATACGGATTTACCTATCTTTAAACGATGCAATTATGTACAGAATATATGTCCACCTCACAGGCTACAGCTACACATTGCCACGTAGGTTTTGAGAAGCTGATTGGTGACAGTGTGTTAAAATATCTTTTTAATGACTTGAAACCCGTTAGATATATGGAATTATTTACCTGTATTGGTTATGTTAATGATTTGGTGAGCTAATGTTGCAACGATTTAAATCTAATGAGAGCAAAACGTGGCACTCACTGGGATGCAGACAAACAAACCCTCCAACATATCTACAAAACATTTAGGCTGTGCACACAGGGGTGCGCTTCTCCCGTCCTCCATTCTAATGATCGATAATGATAAACTAAACTCGCTATATTACAAAGCCCTCAAAATAGCCACAAAGACTGGTACCTCTAAATACATCCCCTGGCCTCACCCACCTACATATCCAATTAAACAACATTATACAACACATACATTAGACTGTGCAGTACAGGACCTCCTTACATCCCACCCGCCCGGCCCCTTCTACGATGCTAAATTCCTTAATGAAGCAAGTGTAGATTTCACTAGGCTCTGAATATTCCATTTCACTGGGACTCCTTTTCAGTTTAATTGAATTTTTTTTATTAATTTTATATATATTCAGAAACTGAACGTTAGTCTACACATAAATTACCACCACATTAATTTTATAAACATCATTCATTTTTCATATCAGATCGGGATACAAATTCTGTGCGCGGATGTGATATTCGACGTTCATGAGTTAAAACAACCATTACAGCTACACACATTACAGTATAAACTCAATTATCCAGACTATCTCTCAATGCCAAGGTCACTCAACGCACGTTTCACAACCTCACCATAAATACCGTACCCTGCCTGGGAAGCCAAACTTGTTGACATTTAATTTCTTTGAGAGGCATTTTAGAAGTTGTGAAGATGAAGGAAAACTGATTTGTATGGATAGTCAACTTCTTTATTGTAATGAGTGCGACGTTTCGGTGTAGGTAGGTACTAACACCGTTATCAAGCAAGTGACCTGTACCTACACCGAAACGTCGCACTCATTGCAATAAAGAAGTTGACTATCCATACAAATCAGTTTTCCTGTGTTGACATTTAGCCTGAAGTTTAACCTTTTTTTTATTTAGCAGGCTCCTTACCTTTTTATCAGCAACAGCTGAACTGTTCTTGATATATAATAAGCCTCAATATACTTTACACAGTTTACCATATATAAATTATACGCTAACTTGGGCTGGTTTATTTTTCCTGGACCGACTTCCCCGCCCTGTTACCTCCAACTTCACTGCCCGTGTAAACTTATAATTATTTTCAATCTATAAACTATCCCCTCTGAATACCTACTTTTATTTTGATATATATGGATATTCTATTTTTGATTCTTAACTGTGTCTTTTCTATTTCTTGGTGTATTTTTTTTAAAGACACCCCTATCAATAGGAGCGTTTCGCACGTTGCTGGTGGTATAGGTTATAGTGCGTTATTCCCCTATTAATAATTATAGTTCAATTTTTGTCACACATATCAACACTGTAGATAACATTAGCACAGTTTGAACTTGAAAGATGGGATATGGGGAGTAGTGAAGGTGCTGATTGTTTGGGGTCCCGTGGTGTTATCTCATTTCTTTATTGTCGTGTGAGGGAGTCTGACCACCCGATCCAGTTAGTCGCCTTTTATGACAATCATGGGTTACTGAAGATCATTTCTACACTGGATATTCACGGGTTCAAACACATACGTACAACAATAGTAAAGACTTGTTAAACCTCACCTTGTTGGCAATAAAGTCGGTGGTCAAATAACTTAGGTTAAGATCTTTCAGAATCTCTTCCATTTTACAAATGGCGACAAAGCCTCCATTTGGATTAAGTCACCTGCAGACAAGATGTAATGCGGAATTATGGGAAATATCGCTTTCTCGCTCTATGGCTTTCTCGCCCTATCGCTTTCGTGCTATATCGCTTTCTCGCCTTGGTATATCGCTTTCTCGCTCTATCGCTTTCTCGCCATATCGCTTTCTCGCCTTGGTATATCGTTTTCTCGCCATGGTATATCGCTTTCTCGCTCTATCGCTGTCTCCCTTTATCGCTTTCTCCCATAATGGTATCGCTTTCTCGTCTCGTGCTGTCGCTTTCTCGTCTCGCGTTATCGCTTTCTCGTCTCGTGCTATCGCTTTCTCGTCTCGCGTTATCACTTTCTCTTCTCGTGAAATCGCTTTCTCGCTTTCTTGCCTCCGAATTTTAATACGAAAAAGCGATGGCCCTAATCAGCCACCATAATAACTTGGCCCCACACTCCCCACTTTTGATTGTTGCATTCGGTCGCCCACCTTCCCCCACCAGTATGGCATATTTTATGTGTGTCATACACTGGTTCAGGAATAAGTTTACTGTGTCAGCAACTAATTTTTGACTTATATCCCCCCTTTACTCTTTCATAACATGAAACACATTTGTATGTTGATATATCTCTTAATTATATGTTGGTAAGATTAAAGTTGTTCAGATTAAGATTAAACTGTTTGATTGGCATTTAGAAGTTGGTGACTAATAAGAAAGTAAGAAAGTTTATGGATAACAACTTCTTTATTATATATGATATATTAGATATAAAGAAGTTGTTATCAATAAACTTTCTTACTTTCTTATTAAGATTAAAGACCATTGTACTATCAGCCAAATCATGTGTACTCATTAAACAGCCATTGTTGCAGCTTTGACCACCATCATGTTTGGAGCCAGCTGCTCCAACACAACTCTTACAATGGAGCCAACATCAGCCCTGTATCCCAACATCATCCCATCATCATGACTGAAAGCAGGCTGATGAGACAGGTAAGTTTGTTTCTGTCGGTACACACCTGCAGTCTGTGCCCCGCCCCAAACTTGGCATCATCTTCAGTATATTTCTCCCTGTTTACTGTTCACTTCTTTGGCTTATCTAACTGCTCCAAACATAATTTTACTCGGGCTTCGCACTAGTGGCAAACGTCACAGTCTGCACCTGTGCACACCATCACACATAGGTCTTCTCTGTGACCACTGATGTCTCACTCACTCGCCTACTTGCTTATCTTATCAAACAACAGTCGTAACCAAAGCATGATATTGCACATATTATAACACATTGTGGTTATCAGAAACAGCTGAACTTTACACATGTATCTAAGCTGTGTTAAAGCTCAGTACCAGCTTGTTTGAAGCAGAGGCCATTGTTTACTGCAGTGTGAGCACTTGGTATTTGTCGATGAGTATGTTGGTGTATCATGTTTGATGCTTAGGTAGGACTGTATCAGTGTCTGTGCTGATATAACAGCAGGTTGTTTCCCCAAGGTATATCTGAGTTTGGGCCTTGGTGGTGTATCTCCAGGAATACTTGACATGCCTTGGCTTAGGATCAGTGGGTTGTGTCCTGACCAGTCATTTCATCTTAATGCTGAAACTGATGATGTATGTTGATAGGTGAGGGGTAAGATGGGTCTTACAAGGTTTTGACAGAATCCCAAAAAAATCCCAACCCAGGAGATAGTTTGTCTCTCAGTCACAGAACTGAGAATGTGAAATTAGCACTAAAACATCGTACGTATCTGTTGAGTTAGTATTTTGGTTTTGTTTTCTTCATGTACCAGAAAACTGAAATAGAGCTGACATGTTCCACTGTTGGCACCTCTCAAGCATGCCATGGTTCTGGAATGTGAGAAATAATTTGTTGAAATTGTTAATGTTGGAATCCAGCACACAAGTGAAACATGCCCCACTTCTTAATCTTCCATAAAGCATGCTCACCATTGTCGGCTTTTTATTCAATAATGTTATACTGACAGACAAGATTTAAAGTGTTTGTAGAAATCTAATTTATCATCCAGTATGTACTCAGAATGCCTTCAAACAATAGACAAACAATTGTCGCCAAAACTGACTACGTTTGCTCGTGATTCTGAGAGGCGTCTCACGTATGCGTAACGGATCTGTGAGGGAAGGTTTGCTTGTCTGTGACGAGCAGTGGGAGGAAAAATAGAACTGTTTCAACGCGATGACACACCCATGTGCGTTCGTGTACATGGAAAAAGTATTTACATGAGGTAAATCTCCATTGAATAAGCTTTCAGAAAATAGTAAACTCGTGTTTCTCTGAAATTGGCACATACGTCAAAATTGTCGCTAAAACTGACTACTTTGTGTTTCTCGTACGCACGGACCTGCGAGGACTATTCTTTTGAATGGTATTCAGCATGTTTCTGGACACTTCTCACTTGTAGTTCTTTGTTTATCCCTCAGGTGGTAGAATATATGTATTTATCCAGGACTAAAACAAAGTTATGTACTTTCCAGGATAACAGGCGGTTTGTTCGGAGAACAAGATTTGCAGTTTAACATGTTAGCTTTGCAAGTTGATTTCATCCCCAGATACACTGTGCATGTGTCATGTATGTTCATCCAATGTCTGTGATGAGCATCTGCACACCTAGTGAAGTCAGACCAATCTCATGGCACAGACATATATAACTCACAGGACAGGCTGGAATTGCTCGCAAATTCCCCAACTGAGCCTGAGTTCTTCATGTCATACCCTACTGTTTCAATGAGGGCAATCGCTTGGATCTTTAATTTTACACATACCAAAAATTTCACTAGAAATGGCATTTAGGATACAAGCTGAAATATTTTTTTGGCACAAATACTTTCAAGAAAATTACTGAGACGGTCCCCACAAAAGAGAAAATAGTGCAAAGTTTTGCACAGAACCGCGTATCGAGCATCCACAGCTTGGACAAACAACAGCCGCGGTGACCTTCAGGACACTGTTCCTTACAATACTGACGATATCAAATGGCGAAAAGACTATTTTAATTGTTAGGAACTACTTTATATCACCCACGGCCCAGGGATACATGCATAATTTTATGAAAAGTGATTATAGTGAGTATATTATTTAATACAAAGCAGGAACGGGAGAATTCATTTCATGGAATATTCCAAAAGCGGTGCCCTACTTCACATGCCATCTATACTAGTCTTGATTTCTACTATTTTCGTATATTATATATATTTATCATAATGAAGGCCTATTAAAGCACTGACATTGTCCGATTACGTAAAAAAATCCCTTCCAATTGTTATAACATTATGGCAGGAAATGCTCCCTTCCACACGGCATCGAATTTCGCTAATTGCTCATAATCCCACAGGAGTATTCCTACTTACTTTGCTTTGTTCAGGTAAGTAACATTAACGATATAGAAGACATTATGTGCAAAGGCAAATCACCCTTATGGCAACATAAAAAGCCCCATTTATTTCTAATGACAAATTTAATTAAGCAAAATAATTATACGAGAGCTTCGGTTTCCGTTCAAGGCTCTGTGCAGCCGAATCAAGCATGTTGTTGTCGGCTTGTCACAAACTTTTATTAATAAAGATGCCTTCAGTGGCTCGAACAAAACCTTGCACTCAGTAAATGCTTAAATAATTGTTGTTGATTGTTTTAACCGTGGTCACACCAAATCCTGTAATTTGTTCTGGTTTCGAGTCGCCTTCAGCTTGTGATCCCTTCATGTAATGTGCACTGATTTACAAGTGACAGCTCACCTGTGGGAGTGGGGGTATTGTGTACTTGGCACTGGCGACTGAGAGGGAATGAGTTGATGAAGTACTTATTAATAATTCCTAATGAGAATATAATTGTTGTGTATACTCAATGGAACCCTTAACAGTAGTATGTAACATTGTGATACAATCCTGATACAGTGTGAAATTATCACTGTCACAGTGTTCTACAGTGTTACACAGTTCATCCTTTCTCACCCTTTGACCCTCCCTTTGTTAAACGTTGTTGAAACATTGTTGAAACATTGTTCATTGTTGGTAAGCTCGCCTGGGCTTTACCTGAGTTACTCCACACTTCATATTGAGAATATCAGGGCTGTTTGGTGTGGTATGACATGTCAAACTGCTAATCCCGTGACGATTGCAGCTGACTTTCATTTAAAGCATAGGCCATACTATACAGGAGCCATTATGCAGTGTCTCAACACTGATATGTCCTTCTTCACACAGGACAGCAGAGGCAATAAACAAGAAGGATGTAATTGAAGTTGTTTCTTTGTTTGTTTGAACTTCTTCCTTTGAGTATGAACAGACACTAATACAGCCAGGCAAGGTTCAGTCTCTGTGTCTCCTAGCACTAGCCCTTACAATCCCAGGCTTTAGTGGTATAACTAACCTCAAAGGCTAATGTGTGTTTACTGACAGAAACATTGCAATGGTTATTTATTCAGGGGGTAAATGTATATATTTGACAAGTGATATTTTAAGCTTATATGAATAAAAATATCATTTTACCTGTTTCATTTCATTTCATAAAGTGCAGATTGATTCTCATGCTGTTGATCACTGGATTGTCTGATCCAGACTCGATTATTAACAGACCGCCACCATATAGCTGGAATATTGCCGAGTGCGACGTACAACTATACTCACTCACTGACTCACTGAAGACCAATCCTTACCCGGATCTTCACAGGTCAAAGAGATAGAGGATATTGGTAAGCAGCACATGATTCCAGAAATACCAGCAGGTATCAAGTGATGGTAATGAATTATATGGGAAAGACAAGGTGCCACATGACAACCACCAGAACATGTTGGCAGTTTGTGGTTAGGCTTCAAACAACAAGAAAGATGACTGAGGGCGTTGTGAAACAATGAACGTCTGGAGACGTTTTGATGAATAATTGATCATGCCCACACGACTGCTCAAACATTTGTGCATATGCATGGTCTGAATCAATCTCCCAATGATAGCAAAACAGGCATGAAATTGTGTATTTGAAAT